CTCAGTGGCCGGGAGTCACAGCCACCGAGACTCTGGCCAGTCTACACGTCACCGCTCCAAAGTGGGCGAACAGGAAGACCCAGGAGGTGTGAAAGGAAAGCCACACAAATTGGGTTTCTTTCTTCCGTAAACCTTTGAATGTCACTGTCACACACATACACGCTACACTCCCAAGGCAGCGTGCGTGTTGCACCCCTCCTCCGTGATGTACATGCTGCGCAGTCACGGTCTCACTAGGTGGGTACGTGATACAAACCTGGGGTCTATGCTCATCAAAAACCCCCAAGGACACCTGGCTTCTCCCCACCCTTCCCACTTCCCGAGGCAAGTCCACCATCGGCACCCCAGAGCCTCTGCCCCTCCAAGTGCTTGGGCTGCCCTCGGGTACTTCCATTCCGCCGCCGACGGCAGAACCCCAACTGCTGGTCTGTCTGCTACCTCAGCCTGGCACACGGGGGGCACCAACTTGTGCTGGCCAATACCGTTCTCGAGAACATCCCGAGACGCCACCCACCTCCCTCGCCTGCCCAGGAACAGCACCAGAGCCACGAGGACACGAGCGCTGCACCACGGGAATCACAACCGGGCTCCCCCGGCTCTTTGGTTCCCGTGAGCTTTTTGTCTCAGAGCTCCCAACGCCGCTGCTCTTCGTTAGGTTCGGAGTTTGCTCCTGCTGTGTGCACGCCGAGAGCCTGAGCACAGGGCCGTGCCCGGCAGGCGTCAGGAGCACTGCGGCCTGTCCGGACCCCGTGATTTCCGGAGGGACAGGCAAGGTGCGGTGGGGGAGAAGCTCCCTCCTTCCAGAGCTGGGCCCGAGGAGGGACATGCCCTTCATGCAGGCCCTCTCAGAGTCCTGCTGGCATAAGCTGGCCCACAGGGTGCCAGCACGGGCGGGCCGGGACATACCGCTCTCCCCCTGGCCCTTGGAGTGAGGCATGTCGGGCGCGTCGGCATCCTTGGGCTCCGTGGCTCTCCGGGAGGTTCTGGTCTTGGTGGGCAGCTCTGGGGCCTGCAGGAATGTGCTCGCGGCCCCTCGTACGCCTTGTTTCCCCAGCTCCTTCTCCACTTCTACACAGAACAACCCAGAAGCCGTGAGTTAGTGTCAGCTCGGGACGGTGGTCCCCCTTTCCTAGGCGGTGGTGGCTGTCTACACTCAGGTACAGAACACGGAGACGGATGCTGAAGAAACAGCTCTCAGCTCCCCTGAGGACTCGGGAGAGCTGCCGGACAGAGCGCCTGGCACTCACCGCTGTGCTCCGCTTGCTGGTCTCGACTAGCCTGCCGACTGTGTGTGTCCCCCAGGAGGAGAGCCGCAGCTCTGGGCTGGGGCCCTGCGCGGCCACTTCTCCACCCCACCTCTCACCCCACTGCAGGCACCCTGGAGCGGGGTGTTTACCATCCGAGATGCTGGATTCCTGGAACATTGTTTCAAAGGCCTGGTGGATTTCAGCAAAGGAAGGCCGGTCAGAGGGATTCCACTGCCAACCTAGACAGAAAAGACCAGGTCAGACTACCCACCGGCCTCACCTAGCTGACGCTAGCAGCTCTCAGGAAAAAGTCTGGAAAGGAACGAAGCCTTCCAATCCTGGGAATAGTTACAACAACAAATGCCACTGTGTCCATTCCAAACAGTAAGAATTTTAGAAGGCATTGAATACTGGCAGGAATGTGGCCTGCTAAAACTGCAGCGCCCTCGACACTACTTACACATACTTCCCCAACCCCCCGAGTAAGTATAAAGAATCACTCAGTGCAACAGCTCTTCTCCCTCCCCTCACTTTACGGTGGCCAAAGCCTGACAGAAGAAATGCTAATTAAACCAGACTCCAGTAAGAATGAAAAGGACTGATGAAGCCCGCTGTTGGTGGGGGCTTTAAGTCACTCACAGGGTTCTGATGGGAGTATATACCAGTATAACCTTTGGGAAGACAGATACAATTTATCAAAACTTAAAATGTACACAGTCCTTTGAATCAACAGCTCCACCTTTTTTTTTTTTTTTTTTTTTTTGCTGTACCCACCATGCCACTGGCTGGCCCCAGTTCAACTTTCAGAAACGCTAGCCCGAGTACAGAGAGGCACCGATACCAGACGTTTGTCCCTGCGTGGTTTATAACGGCAAATCAAACAGAGACAGGAGGGTTACACACAGAGGGGCAGAGAAGGCCTCTCTCCGTCCCTCTCCTTCCCAGCGCGCTCATAAAGGAAAATGAAACACAAAGAACAAAACCAAATGAACGTGAAAAACCAAGTGCGCGTCGGGAGGACGTGATGAGTGGGCGAAGTCACCTCAGGCACGCGGCAGCGGTGCACGAACAGGAGAGGAGGGAGAGGCCTGAACGCAGACACGGGAAGGTGAGCCTGTTGCTCCACTGCCGAGGGGAGGAAAGGTGAGACGATGATCACGCTTATGCAACACATACAACGCATACACATCCGTGTGTGGAAGTAATACAGAGCCGACTGCATGAGCAGCACCCAGAACGCCGAGCTGTTCTAGCAGACTGTTCGGCGGTAGGGCCCAGGAATCTGCATTTATTAATAAGAAATCCAGATCTGCTAGCCATGAATCCCATTTTTGCTTAAAAAAGCAAAAATAAAAATGGAAACAACTGGGACCGGCAATTGACATAGTGGTTAAGGTGCTAAATCCCCACATGGCTGATCATGGTTTGAGTCCTGGATCCAGTAGCTTGAAGCACACTGAGTGTGTGTATGTGTGCCCCAAATTCCAGGAGGACACCGAAGAAGGGATTGAGGTGTGGCTATAGCACCTAGGGGGGTGATCTCTCACTGTTTCTCTGTCTCTCTCTGGAGAACACACACATCCTATGGCAAAAATTTAAAAAAAAAAAAAAAAAAAAACAAAAAAAAAAAA